CTTAATCACCAAGTAGTTTCAAAAAATTTAATACATCTGGAAACGGCTAAATGTTATAGATGATTCCTCAGGAAGAGAAATAGTGCGAGAGGAATGTCGTATAACTTGTATTTTTACTCCTCGCAGAGTGTCCCCTAAGCAGAGGAAATACACTGCGGCCGTGATTGATGACAAAGAACCCACTCTGAACCTCTGAGCCTCACAATTATCAACAAATGGGCTGGAGCAGATTTTATGTAATGATTAAAGCTGCTGTTAATTTCACATGAAGGTAATGAGCGGGGAGATTGACGGCCACTGTCCGGCACTCCATCATCCCTTTATAGTTAGTTTAAACGTTTTCACGACTCTTTTCCTCCCTCATTTGCATTTTGCCTCATTAGATATGGCCATTTCTGAGGCCGCCCGCCATATCCATTTCCTGGAGTTAATGCATTTTATTTGATCAGCCGAACCCCCTCCGTTAACTAGCTGTCATTCTGCCGTTTCATATGACATCACTCCATTAGCACCCACCATGCCACCTCCTCGTCCACACCCGCTGCCACCACCACCCCCGCCCCCCCACTGCCTTAAGCAATTACAATGTCCGACTGTCACCGGATGCAGCGTTATTGTGTTTTTGCCGGGTGTTATCTGCCCCAGTTGTTCTATCCGTCTTTCACTTCTCAATATTTTTTCCTCAAGAATGGCTCTTTCCGAGGTTTTATTTTTCACATCGGCCGCAGCAGAGCCCCAGTGGTGAGCAATAGTCAGCACACAGAGGGCTCAAAGTGCACGACCAGAGTGCCAGGCCCCGCCAACCAAGGGACCAGAGGTGTTTTGGAGGGCCTAATGGCATTTTGATGTTCATAAGCACTGCGGATGTGAGGGAGGGGAGACAGGGAGGTGGGAGAGAGGCCGTTTTGCAGGGGGGGAAGAGGAGGAGGAGGAGGAGGAGGAAGAGGAGAGTCAGGAGAGGACTGTCAGCGGAAGACTTGCAGAGTCCTGACAGACAGAGAACGTGTTTTCTCATGTCACAGCTGATTACATTCACTCCAGAGTGGGAAAAGAGCAGGAAGAGACGGCTCGACGAGGGAAACTTCCAGGTTGTTCCAGAGATGAAGTGCATTATTCTCAGAAACAATATAACTATTGACTTTCCGTGTTCAAAGGTAGGGAATGAAGCGTTAAAATTTCACAACCGTTCCAGAAAAATCAACCTTTAAAAGCAAAAAGAAATGGACATAAATCTGCTTTCATTGTCGATTTGATGAAATTACTTCGCATTAATTTGCTAAATCATTCCCTTGTGCTCTTTTATTCTCTTTCACTTTTCTCTGATTTATCAGATAAATGTTTGATTCTGTTGTTGAATCATAGATGAGCAGAAAATAAGTTTTTACAGACCACTGAAGCTCGAGCACAGACAAAAATCTGCCTGTCTGCGGCCGTTGTCTGCACCCCTTTGTCCATTTATCTTTGCTCCTTTTTTTTTTTTTTTTTCTTTTTTTCCCCTCCTGTGCAGGCCCCCGAAAAAAAAAAGCAATTAAATATAAAACGGGCCACATGAAAAGAGCAAAACCCCAAGAATAAACTCCAGTTAGTTTGTGTCAGACAATTTTGGGTTTCCATGGGGTCTTTCCACGGTTAGCAGGGGACGCTATTTTCCCTCTATTCCTGAGATTACACGGGTTGCTGCACCAGGTGACCCTCATGGTCAAACGGGCGACGGAGAGCCTGGCTGAGTTTAGATTCCCTCCTCTGCATAGCATACAGAGAAAAGATGCATTTTTTTTTTTTAACAACTTGCAGGCTTTATTGCCCTCCCAGAGACGTTTGTTTAGTGTGTGCCGATCCCTGAATAGCCTTGTAAAATAGACGATATTGAACTCTGATGTTGCAGAGAGTGACAGCAGATATAGAGGAGACAAGTTGATGGCACATGATTTAATGCAGGCCTCAGCTTCGCTAAGTCTCACTGCCATGCAAGCTAGAAAATGTCTGGCCAAGATTTCTACATTTCTGCCTCGAATTTGACTTTAACACTGTAAACATTTCTTTAAAAAAAAAAAAAAAAAAAGCTCTCCAGTTTATTCTGGCGTCACAGTTATCACAACACCAGAGCGGTCATCCCCCTTCTCATGGTAAATGTAAAGAATGAAACACAATGGTTAACATGCAGCCTCTGCAAACTGGAAGATCACTGTTTATCTCCTGCAACACATGCAATCAGTACAAATGCTAGGCCAGGTCTGTCATTTTGTGCCTCCCGCCGAGGTGTTGAGAGGAGTCACCGTGGCGGAAAATCACCTGTTTAGGTGTTGAACACAGCCTCGCCTCTCTTTATTCCTGGCTCTCCCTTTTCAGCTGCTATCCATATTACCCAGTGGCAGGAGACGCAGCAATACAGCCCGCTCTCTTTTCACCTAGATTTACCAGAATAACATAGCATCTGGAAGGGCTATCATCGAAAGGAAGCACAATGATAATATTTCAACTGAATTTAAAAGCTTCTCCAACAACCCATCACTCACACAATGACGCTGAGCACAGCGGATTTTTTTCAGGAAGACTCCGGGTGTGCTCGTCTGAGCGGATCACATTATATGTGAGTTGATCTGTGGCCTCTGTTTAACTCTGTTCAACTGGCCGTGTTGGCTTTTCTCTGTGTCCACATTCAGTATCAGGACTCACATACTACGGATTAAAGAACCCCTTTGTCAACACTTCAATAGAGGGTTTGTTTTCACAACACATAAACTGCCATACTACCTGGTCCAAATTATGTTTCTTTTTCCTAACAAGGATTTCTGTAATGGTTAATACATCTGTGTGTAGAAGCTCTTTAACCGAAATGATATTTTTAATTCTCAAATTTGTGTATAAAAAGGGGAATTCAGTTTGAAATTGGGTTCATATACCAACAAGACAATGAGCCTGAGAAGAGAAGAAGGAATCTGGAGGACTGGACCTGGTGGACTGGTCAGGTCAAAGTCCTGATTTGAATCCTATTGAACACATTTGGGATTTAGTAGATTCAAAGATTGTTTCATCTAACAAGTCTGTGGGAACAACTAGAAACTATTTGGAACTCAATATAAAAAGAGACTGTGGAAAAGTTCATAAAATAATGCCAGCAAGAATGCAAGCTATTATCAAGGCCAAAGGAAGACATACCAAATATGAATTTTTTTGGTTATTGTGTGAAAAAGGACGATTTAGATGTTTCAGTTTGTTATTTGCCAAATAAAAAGAAAGATTTTAAAGATTTCTAAACTATTTATCTTTTCTCGTTTTCATGACAGGGGATCTAATAAATGTGTTGTAGAACTTGGAAATGGTCCAGAATATACAGTGCTTAAGAAAATGTATCAACTATTTGTTCCATACATTTAACATTTATTTATCATGACTGAGCTTGAAAGAGCTTCTGTCCAATATGTGATGTTCTTTAATCGTAAGAGCACCCAGATGGTATTTCATCCCATAGTTCATGGTGGTTTGGGGACGTTAATATCCGATGTTTCTGGGTTTAATTGCAGCTTGACTGAGGTTTTGCTATCCTGTGAGGTTCACATGTCGGGTCACAATCGGTCTTCTTCTAACATTTGCGACGTGAAGATTTCCGAAGGACGACCGCTGGACACATAAAAGACAATCTTGCGATTATCCGGGAAAAAGTGGATGACTTTCAGACGAGGGGAGGCAATATCAATCACGGCCAATTTGAGGCCACCAACATGAAATATGATTTCATAAGACAAATGCAGTGTCATTCTTAATGTGCTTAACCTTTACTGTCAATGAAAAAGTATTGATCGCTCTGTGGCATTTTTTCATCATTTGATTTCAGAAAGTGTAATAATATATGGTGCTGGGCTAAGATAAAAGATGAATGGCAACCGGATGATCTCAGATGAACAAAGCTGAATTCCTTGCAGAGCGCAGAGGGTGTGGAAAGATGCTTTCAGCAAAAGAATTTCTTGTTTTCTGCACTTTTTACCTGAACTTTATATCATAGCAAACAAAGTCAGTGCTGTTTTAAAACTCTCTTTGTATTTCTGCACTTTTGTTTAAATATGTAACCAGCCGATATTAGCAGTAGGGCACAGGCAGCCTTGCTCCTATAAGCAGCGTTTCTATTATTTCTCTATTCTGTTGAGTAATTGGGAGGTCTCCTATCTCTTCTCTGTCTTTGATCTACTTACTCAACCTAATAAGACTTTGCTCTGCTGCACTACAACCAAATCAGCAGTGCATTTTCAGCCCCCTAATAAGTGGTTAGCTTGATTTATATGGGTAATCTCGTCGATGTGGCGCGGCTCTACAGCCTCTCCCCGACGCAAGGAGCCTCTTTTCACAAGCACAGGCCAGACCAGATGAGTCCATTACAGCAGGGGTAAAGATGGTCATTTCAGCCCTTCCCTCTCCTTCAGGAGGAACAGTGTGCTAGTGCAGTATGACGCAGGAGGAATTCTTAGTCGAAGCGTATTGAAGGGAGTAACGATACAGTGATGCATGGCCGCACTGCCCGGCTCTATTGTGAGAGCGGGGATGGTGTAGCGCCGTTGCCGCGGGTGGAGAGACTCTGCTCGGCCTGTGGGGAGCCCTGGGGGCCAGAGGAAGCACTTAGAGTGGTAAAAAGGCCACTTATTCACCGCCACCATCCCGATCTCGCTGCTCCTCCCTACCCTGGAGCCTCCCACTGGGTTCAGGAGCACAGGCCTCCGGGAGCCTTATGATGGACTGCACAGCCCTCTCTGCTGGACTGAACAAACCCCACCACAGTTAGCCTATTGTGGCATTTGCAACAAAGACCAGCTGCTGAAACCACACACACACACACACACACACACACACACACACACACACACACACACACACACACACACACACACACACACACACACATCGAGCCTACCTGAGCTAACCTTTTTATATGCATTTAACTAACAAACATCTGCAAGAGTGCCAAAAAGGAATGCATTCCTGATGGATGATTTCTTCCCTCTTTTCAGCTGAATCCACTTGCTAGCCAGGCGGCGGTAGCGGCTGCAGCAGCTATGGGATCCATCGCAGGGTCTCAGGTGTTTGGAAACACCCTGTCGAACCTGCAAGGAGCCACGGGACAGCTGGTCACCAACGCACAAGGACAGGTGAGCGATGAATAGCAGACACCAGCACGCTACAGTAAGAACGCTCCTGAGTGATCAGTTATGCACACGGCTGATTTACAAGCTGCACAGAGGAACACTTTCTTTTGTAACAGGTCTGTAAAGGACCTTTTTTTAATGTGTGAGAGTGCAGCACACAATAAAACATTTGTATAGTATTCCTGATCTTGGCTCATAGATTTCCACTGGTGGGTCTGTGTGTCGTCCTGTAGCTGTTTGTCTGCACTCCAGCAGCCACCCAGCCATATATTAAGCTTTTTGGGAATAAACAAAGCCCTTCTTACTCTTATCCGCATGCGCTTGTCGCAGTAAAATGCTGACCTTGTCATATTTACAGGGTGGCTGCAGAATTGTTCCATCAGTAGCCAGAGGCTTGAACGATGATGCTTGTCATTGTGGGACCCTATCTAATGAATCATCTTATCGCAGGAGCACACGGCACATATTAAAGGAAAATTGTACGGACAATGTGCCCTTTCATGCCACGCTGTGCTATTTACCTTAACCCCCGTTTCATCTTTAGCATTTGCACGGTTTATTTGATAAAAACTGAAGCACTAGGAGACATTTCTTAGCACTGAAACGGGTTCATTTTGAATGTTATACTGAACGTTTAGCCCACCAGAGGAAGGTTTGAGTTCCACCAGTGTGACCAGGCCTCATTGTTTACTGTTAAATGTTGACCGTGCGCGCGCTCTTGATGCTAAACGTCGCTAATGAGACAGTATGGACTTCCCTGGCTCATAAGGTGCCTGGAGCGCTGGGGACAGATCACTGTGGATATGGACTTGATGGGCTGCTCTGTGCTTTTGTAGTGTCTTGGCGGCTGACAGCCTCTGACATAATCAGGTCACAGAGACGGTCAAAGCCCTGGGCTACAGCCTTTGCTCCCCACCTCATTATTCCACAGCATTATTCAGACAGAGGGCTCTGAAACATGCACTACCCTATCAGAAGGTCCCGTCCCCCCTTCCTCCCCCAAACACTGAGGAGATTATACAGGCTAATACATACACCAAACAAGGCAGGAGGGCAACCAAACATGCTCTGAGAACATGTTTAAGCATAAAACATCATACAGTGGAGGAGCTTTTTAACACATTCTGGTTTGTATTTACTAGAGATTGATTGTTTAACTGGAATTTAAGAACCTAATTTGTATCACCCCTTTAATCTATGAGTAAAAAAATGAATACAAAAAGTATTCTGTCTTCTGACCTCCTTATTTCTGCAACAGCTCTGTCAAAAAGGTCTTTCATAAGCGAGAGCTCTGGGACATTGAAAAGCTCCTGGTTTGATCAGAGTTTGCGGTTCAATATGTTTTTAAACCTTAATTATATTGGGCCCGGCCTCTTTATCCTCCAAGGAGAATCAATGAGGCTTTTCTTTTTTTTTTTTTTTTTGTCCTGGCTGCCTCTACAACAGTGATTAGAGCTGTGGATAAAAGCCAGAATATTGTTAAGTCAATCTCAGCCCTGATATTTATTTTCCCTTTGGAATCTGTGGCATTTAAGGTTACATCTTCTTTTCAGGGCAAACTCACACTTTTCTAGCAGCTTAATAAATGGGAGTTAAAAAAAATGGTAAGAAATGGGGATGTTAGGGTTGTTTCATGAAACTTGTCTCACACGCTGAGATGTAGACGTAGATGTAGACACCCCTGCAGTAGAGCGTGTTTGTAGGAAATCCCAGTTTCTTGAACTCTGGTGCTAAAAACTGAGCGTATGGGAACGATCTCTCCCCTGAACTCCTTCCTGTTTTCTTCTCCACATCTCCAGCCTTTGTCTTCATTCTTGACGATGCTGCCGCTTATGTAGATAACAACAAGTTCAACAAGTACATGCAGAATAACAATCAGGCTTCATATTTCCCTTTAAAGGAGGTCAGTCTGTAAAGTGAGCTGAACCAGGACGTTTACTGTGCTGCTGTATGTTAATGGACGCTTACAGCCACGAGTAACCCCGTGTAAACTGCTGCTGACCTTGTGAGTGTAAATCTACTTTAAGGCTGCAGCTATTGATTGTTAATCTTTTGATGCCGTTTGGGTTTCTAGATTACTCTTTTGGGCAAGAAACACTCAAAAACATCACACAATTTATGTGTAAAAAAAGAAAAGCATAATTGTACCTGTATAAATTCATTTCTCAACATGAAAATGTCACTTTGTTAGTTTACTGATCAACTTATTTCCGTTGAGCTACTTAGCATAGCTGCCCACTCTGCTGTAAATATATATGTTTGAGAAAATGATCCATAAGATGTTAGAAAATATCTGACGCACTACTTCAGGAAATGTCTTCTGTCCAGTGCACCGCTGTTCAATTTGCTCTGAATTTTTAGCTTTCTTTAGAGTTTGATCCAAACTTCCCAAACATGTTCCCTCTCGGGGTCTCAATTCACCGCATGAACAGCAGAGGAGAGAAAATGGGCAGAGATATTGCCTGGCGACCATGGCTAAAGACACAGATTGGCCCTGGCTGGAGAGATGAGATGACATTTCTGCGGAAACAAGAGCAGCATAATCTTAATGAGTTCTGCTGGGTGGAGAGAGGCACGATACTCACATGTCATACGAAGTAGAGCGGGAAGAAAAACACAGGAAGCCAAATAAAGGAGAAGGAACCCGAAAGATGTCTGAGGTAGAAGGCCTGAGCAGCGACGGAGAGAAGGTCTTTAGAGCTGCTTATTTCAGAAAATAATGGAACAATGAAATTGCACCTTGAGAAAACTGAAATGGTTCCACGTCTCCATCCAACTTGGGCGAGTTGTATTGCCAGTGAATTTCCTGCTGGTTGGTTTTGGTGTGAAGTAGCTTCCTTCACGGGTAAAATATTAACAGCTTAAGCACTTATCTGTCATGTTTAAGTTAAGTGAAATAACATGACAGGCATACATGAAACAGTTTCTTGGTACACTGCGCTTAAGTAACGGCAAAAAGTTTGTTAGAGATTAAAACATTAGAGGTTGCACTTCTGTAAATGGTTGATGGGCCTGAGCTTTATATTTATTTTCTAGTCTTCTGACTACTCAAAGCTCTTTTACACCGCATGTCACACCTACACATTCACAGATTGATGGAAGGGGATGCTGTGTAAAGTGACCATCAGAAATAACTAATCCCATTCACAAGCATGTGTCGCCGACGGAGCAGCGGGAGCAATCCAGGTTTAAGTGTCTTGACCAAGGACACATCGGACATGTTGCTGCAGGATCGCACCTCCAACCTTCTGTTCGAAGACCGACTCTGCCAACTGAACCACAGCAGCAGCATTAAACAGGCAGTTTCTGAGCGTAAATGTAATTAAACAGCAGAACATGCTCCTAATATTTGCAGGGTTGAATCCTTTTGATACCTGAGTTTTGTAGCATTGAAATTATTTGATGAGGAGTGAAAAAGATCTTGTCGACTTGTCAGTGCATCAGCGGTTACAAACAAAATATTTTTGCCTCATTGAAATGTGAGCTGAAGATAAAAATGGTCTTTGTTGCACATCTGGAAATTTCTCTTTAAATAATAGATAACTGCAGAATCCGGCTTATTAAAGGTCATTTCTTTTTTAGGATACGACCCCCCCTGAGATTTTCCCTGTGGCGTCCCAACAGAAATCACAACATAACAACAAATTATCAATCATATAAAATAATAAAGAAAATGAATTTGGAGACCTGTCCGGGTTGCCACTTTTAAAGAATGTGAGCATGATACAGGACTCAGTAACTCTTGTTTGTTTTTGCGTTCATGTAAAGGGAAAGCTGTAGAGAGACGGGGAATGTGGGGAGAAAGAGTGCGGATGGCTTTAATCCAAACCGCATCAGGATTTGAACCTGTGACCAGTGCAATGAGGACTGTAGCCTCTGTGAAGCGCCCGCTCAACCTACTGAGCTAAAAGCAGCACCCCAGCTCAGTGACGCTTTAATTTATAAGGCTCTGCTCCGTTAACCACGGCATTAGTTTAATTTTCCCCTGTGAGTAAAATGTCAAACAAAGTCTTCCCTTCTATCTGTAAGTTCCCGCTCATACACTAGACCGCTCTTAGAACTCCTTCTCGCCCGAAGAGCCTCGGAGTCACTGCCATGAAACATCTGCCGGAGATGCTCAGATGGAGAAGCATTGCATGGTGGGACGGTGGACGAGAGCTAAGCTGTCACTTGCCCGCTCTTTTATTATGCTTATAGAACAACCACTTAGTCCAATGATGATGAATAATTGAGCGGAACAAGTTCCCTGCCACTGTGGCATGCAAAGCGGGATCAGTGGGACTCGGGAGACAAGAGCGTCAGGCAGGGCAATAAAATATGCTAAGTGGCAGGAGAGCATTACAGGGAATTTGTAAAGCCGGCGCTGAGAGAGAGATAAATTATCTCTCCCCTAATGCGAAGCAACGTAAGCAAATGAGCCGTGGCAAGGATGAATTACAGATCATCTGCCCACCTTTCTCTCACTGATCCCTCCCTATTATGTCAAAGAGAGAGGGTGAGGGGGGGGGGGGGGGAGGCACACGCTGAAGCACATCAGTAGCAGTGGCGATAGGGAACCGAGGAGCCAGCAAAGGACGCTGCTACGAGTATTGTTCCTCGGTTTAGAAGCTGAATATATAATAAAAGAAGAAGAAAGCAATGTTTGTAAAAGTAGCCCAGATAAGAGAATTCCAAATGATGGGCGTCTCATCCATGCCGAGCTGCTCTCTGGTGTAATGAGGCTTGGTGGTGGAGAGATGTCAGCGGGGGGGGGGGGGGGGTTGGTCGAGGCAACGGCTGCTCAGAACCAGTCCCCAGATGACATTAACCTTCATCATGGTGAAGAGGCGCTAAGACCCCCCTAAAGCGCCACTCCTGGCCACACTCTGGCAGCTCTGAGAGCTAAAACGCTGCAGTGACACTCTGCCGCCCCCTTTGATCTGCCCTTCCTGATTACAGCCACAGAGGAGAGGAAAGCAGGCGGGTAGAGGAGGGGGTGAAGTACCCCTGGGACCCTGAGAGGAGAATTAGAAGCACAGGGTCCTGTCTCACTCTCTGATGCTCCTCTTTTCTCCCTCTTATTGTTTCTTCTCTGCTTCTTTCTTCCCACTTCTGCTGCTCTGTGTGTGTGTGAGAGACAGAGAGAGAGAGTGAGAGGGTGAAACGGGGGTCTCTGTCTCTCAGCCGCTTCACTTCTGCTCACCAGAGACAAAGACACTTAGGCACAAACACACTTAGACACACACACAGTCACGCATACACACACGCTCTCATCCCTGGTCCTGGCCTGCTTGATGGATAATACAGTCAGTGGTGTGCACCATCACACACACAGGTATTTGGAGCTGACCTTTGCAGGGCGCTCCCAGCAGTCTGCTTTAGCTTCACTTGTTCCAGGCTGTAAAACCACCTCAGAGACAGATGATCAGTGGACACTTGTGCATGTTTCCCTCTTGAATCACACAACTCCAAAGCTGAGTGCTCTGATTAGCCTCGTAACTCAAAATGACCGTCTCGTGTTATGTTCCCACACACACACACACACACACAAAAAAGCCAAAAAAAAACAAACAAACAAAAAAAAACGTCACAGCAGCAGCGATCATTAAGAACAGTACCTCCAGTAGCGTTTACCCTCGCTGCTCCATCTTCTTTTTTTTTAAAACCACCCAGCTGATTTCGTCTCCTCTCTACCCCCTTTGTAGATAATTGGAACAATCCCACTGATGCCCAACTCTGCAGGGCCCTCCAGCCAATCAGGGGGTGGCAACCCAGCACTGCAGGTACAGCCAATTACACCTCAGCTTCTGACCAACGCTCAAGGCCAGATCATCGCCACGGTGATCGGCAATCAGATCCTGCCTGTCATCAACACCCAGGGAATCACGCTGTCGCCAATCAAGCCGGGACAGCAGGTAACACACACAGACGCACACACACACACACACACACACACACACACACACACACACAGATCTTGTATAGCAGCTTATTATGCAGATGTTCCAACAGCGATCAAGAGCTGATTTTAAAACTGTTGAATGAGCAACACCTAGTGGAGTCAACCCAGAGCTGTGTTTATTCATGAAGGCAAATGTTCCAGCACTGCTTTATGCTAAGCAGCTCGTACCTTTCCTGCTTCAGCACTCACAACCTCGTTTGCATTCTTCCACGCGGATAATTGAAGCATTTAGTAGAAGTGTCCACATGTGTGTTTTCATGTTTCAGTGTGTTTGTTCAAGGCACTTGTTCAAGCAACCTTTTTCAGACTGAGTCTCAGGGAGGTTTCTGCTCCCCCGCAGAGCCCCAAACCATGAAGGGGAAAAAAAACAAAAAAACAAAGCAACACTTTTCATCACCCCCACTTAAAACTAAAAACACTTCTTCTGTTCTCCACCTCTTTCCGTTTCCCTCCCTCCTTCCCTCCTTCCTCAATAACACGCTCCAGTCTTTTGATTTGTCCTCTCTGACCTCAACAACAAGTATTTTGTTTTGATTTTAAACACACAAGTCGTTCCTGGATTTGAGTTCATCCTGCAAGTGTAGAAACTCGAGCTCAATCACTTTTTCTCCTCTCAGTTTTGAAGATCCACACAGAGCACGAGCGAGGAGTCAGACGCATGCACACAAACCCTGACGATGTTATTGACTCGATAATGACGATGTCAGCGCAGAATTACAGGGTAAAAGTTCACGCTGAAGGCTCGTACAGTGCAGGATGGATGAACTCCCAGCAGATGGACACCTAATTGTGGCTCCCTGAAAAAAAAAAAAAAAACACCAGATCACACTCTTGAATGAATTAATGCATCTGTAATAATGTTTATGCTTTTGTCTCCACTTCAAAGCCTGCATGTACACATTGTTCCACGGGCATAATTTACGGTTGTCAAGAGTCGGCAGTCTAGAATATTTTCCAGTGAAGCTAGATAATTCTCCAAGCCTGTCAACAGTCCTGACAGTGTGTGCATCGCTTGTTGACACCCCCCCCCCCCCCCAAACAAACACATGCCACGGAGAAAATAATTAATTGCAAAGAAAGGAGAGGAGAAGCCGGCCCAGCTGTGTGGCAGAAGACAGCTTTTCACTTTTAAAAGTGTAGACGTACCATCTTGATCTTGTAACAGCAATTCAAATGTGCATAAAACATGAAAATACATCGTTTTCTCGCCCATCAGAGCGCCTGAGCTCGTGGATCATGAATTATGTTTGATACGGGGACTGCTGTGTCCACGCTTTTTTTTTTTGTTTCAGATTCAGGCTGCCGTTATTAGCTTCCCTCGCAGGTCTGATGACGAGAGGAAAAGTCTCTAATTGTCGCGAGCAGGTTTTTAAACTGCGGAGATTGTGACACTTCTACAAACAGAGGAGAACCTGAGCTGACTCTCCTGTCTCCTACATTAGTAAATCCCTGCTCTAGTCTATTGAGCTATTGACACTAGACTCTGCTCTGTCAGTACTGATGAACACTTGTGCATTATTAGCTACAAGGGCAATCTCATTGTATCCCTCCCCTCAGTGGCTAATTTAATAGCTGCTTGATTAGATATATTATTACTGCCCTTATTATCCCTATAAGAATTATTACTGTAAATGATGATGATTACTATGATGTCAGGGAGGTAATCATAGATGTTCTTGTGTTTTCCATGCGCTCAGTATGTTGTTTCAGCTCTGTGTTTGTGTGTTTGTCCGTGTGTCCGGCAGCAGGGTCAGTCAGGCCCGGCGTCGTCTCAGCCCAACATGCTCCACATGCCCCACAGACAGAGTCCTCTCCACCAGGCCTCCTCCTCCTCCTCCACCTCCTCCTCCTCCTCGGCGCTCAGCGTGGGGCAGCTGGTCAGCAGTAAGTGTCCGACACAGCTCACAAAAAACACAACATGCCTTCAAATAAATGGGGTAAAGCTCGTCCCTTATTACCGCAACACAGATTCTCTCAGATATACTGTATTTAGTGTTCCAGACTTTGAGATTTTCAGCCCCAAACCTTTTGAAGGAGCAGATCGTCTAATGTGATATTTTATTCTTTTGTTAGATTTCATGAAGGCATCACAACAACCGACGTGTTAAATATTATTTTGGAGAACTTGGTGCTCAGAGATGTCTCCAAACAGCTGAGAACATTTCAGATTTATTCTTAGATCCGAACAAAAGGAAACGATTCACTGCTGATTGAAATCCCTCGCAGACGACCTGACACACCTTTCATGCTTTAATGTGTTTTCACGGCACCAGGAGGGTTTGTTGGATTGACTCACAGCGTAAATAACTTTTATTTCATTTGATTATTTATGATAATCTGGCACGAGGGAATGAGATCATATAAAAAATTAAAAAAGAGACGTTGTGTCTTAGTGGGATAAAAAAAAAATTCTTTGAGAACTTAAACAAATCAAAAACTCAAATATCCGCATAGCTAGATACCGTCGCTATGTGTTTTAAATGTGTTTTAATTTGGGGGAACTGCCCCTTTAAAAATCACTGGCTACTCAAACAGCTGCATAACGCTCAGTGTGGACAGCGTGTGATTGATCCCCGCCTCCTCTGATTGCTGTGTTTTTGTCCTGACTGTCAGTTCGTTGCTTTATTAGATGATCCAAAGTGGCATGTGTGTAGGTTTAATGAACATAAGTTTCTCTCTCTCCTAAAGCGGGGGGCCTTGGGCAGAGCCTTATAAATCACTGGGCCTCGGCCTGTCAGCATGCAGCTATAGCCTTTAAAAAGTCTGTTTTATTCAGATAAATTTCATTTGTCAAAGTCGATTCCCTTAAACTCCATGTAAACTCATTTCAAAGGCAGCTACGATGCCTCCAAATGTAATAAAAAACAAGTCGCCATTGATCAACTTGTTGTAGACACTGTGTTTGGTTTGTGTTTACTGCTAGCTTGGAAAATATCCTTTGAACCATTTTTTAGTCTGCACACAATCATTGTGGCTCGGCTCTGAGGTAAATGGAATTAATGCTTCATGCTGAGTATGAGCCGTGTCCCTTTCCTCGCAATATCAGTCACAGCGCACGTACACAGAGTCAAATCCCAATACTCTGAAAGAGAGGAGAAGTCATTGCATTTACCGGCCATAAAAGCTGTCTTATCTGCGATGACAAAAAAAATCAGAAGAATGACGTTTAAATGATTTTTCAGAGAAAGTCAGCTTATCAGGAAAACTAATGTCTGGAATCAAACCAGCAACCCTGCAACACAGTCCTTCACTGGTGGGGGAAAAAAAATAGCTTAATGTAAAAATCGAGATTCTAATCTTCTGAGATTTGACATAGATTCATAACCTCCAAAAATCGATTGATTGATAATTTTTTTTGGGCTAATCAGTCACTCCCTGCTAGGTGCTAATGCTAGCTCTTTAACTCAGTAGTACACCAAATGGAGCAACAAAACATTCAGCCGGTCTCACGGATGGCTGGAGTAGATCCTGACGTATGTACTCATTCAAAAATAGACTTTGAATCAAGAATCCAGAATCATTTCGAATCGAATCGTGAGACACCCAAAGACTCCCAGCCCTAGTGCGTAGTGCTCGACTGAGTTCATACCTCATTCACACTTTACAATACCATGTTTCTCTATCTGGACTTCTTCTTTAGATCTGGAAAAACAAATGCATGGATTGTGAATGCATGCTAAAGCTTTCCGAGTACACTGAACAATGTTAGCCATGTTAGCTAAAACAATCTGCACACTGTGACCGCATCAAGCAGAAACCCCCCCCCCGCTGTTTAAAAAAGAAGCCAATATGTTTGAAGTGCTAAACAACCACAGCTCCTCCAGTGTCTGCTTTGAGGCTGACGGCAAAAAGTACGGAGGCTGTAGTCCTCCAAGCAGCCAACCCGGGTTCAAAATCCAACCTCAGGGTCCTGTCCTGCAGGTCGTTGATTTCTGACTCTATCCACTCTCCTGCCTCTACAATAAAGGTAGAAAAATAAACCTTTAAAAAAAATGTCTTAATGATACCAGGTTTAAACACAGAGATCTATCCAGGTGTGGCTAATGTCTAAAACAATCGTTGTCTAAGGAGAGGAGAGAATTATTACCAGACCTGTTTGGATAAGATGTGAAAGAGAGCTACATCCAGTTTGAAACTTCTCCTCCTCCTCCTCCTCCTCCTCCTCCTCCTCCTCGTTCTCAGCTGGTTCTTTATTGTTAATTATTCTTCTCTCTACATGGAGACAGAAACTCCACGACATCGTTTTCCATAAAAGCACTCTTGTGTGCGGTTTATGAAGAGAAACATTAATTCGCCCTCCTTTTCAGCGTGGAAATTGAGTGTTTAACTTGTTATTGTCCTCTTCTAATTATGAAGCTTGTTAGTTTGTTCTTACTGAGAACAAAAGAAGCTTTGTGGCTGCAGAAATTGGATGTCTCCATTGTTTCTGCGTTTTCTAATTTGGCTTTTAAAATCGTGTTTTACTCTTTTTTTTGTGTGTGAAACCTGACATTCTAAATCCATTATTACAAAATAAAATAAGAAGTTTAAATCTTTAATCACGCCTTGTTTGTGACTTAAAGTAAAAAAAAAAAATTAAAAAAAAAAACGTGGATCTAGAAGGTTAGAGGAGAGCATCTGAGCGCCGCTGCCCATTAGTCTCTAAAGCGGCGAGTAAACAGACTCTGTTGGGAATGATGACGAGACGCTCATCAATGTGGAGATGATGGGACCAGAAAACGGAGTGCTCGTAACTCCCTTTTAGTCTCTGGTCGCTCGTCTTCCAAGTGTTCACACGTCTGGAGCACGCCGCATACGCTACACGTCACTTATGAGGCACAACGAGATGGCAGCCTCATAGATTTTTGCTTAAATACGCTTGGAGGATTCCTTTAATAATTCATTGATAATGACCAAGATGAATAATTCAGAGGCACAAACTTTGCTTTGGTAAGCAGGATGCCAGGGCACCTGACATTGATGTACAATGTGAAATCACTTTTTATTAGCGGGGAAATTCTTCAAAATGCGTCAGAGAAGTTTCTTTTTTTTCTGCTCGAATGTGAAGATTCACAAACGGCGTTTCTTTGTATTAGGAGTTCTCTGTTTGCTTGAGGTTTAAAGGTCTCAAACTGAGTTTTCACAAAGGGTCAGATCGGTGAAGTAATGTCTTTAAATATCATATCTAATCCATCCTTCTTTAAGGCCTTTTTTAAGAACGATGCATTTTATGATATTCATGGTTTAAAAGAGAGGAATAGATTGAAACCTTCTCTTCCTCCTGGAGTTTAGTCAACACGCTTTTTGTTTGTGAGATTAAAGTTTCACACATGCAAGTCAAACGGGTGTCACGTCTGCTTTCACACCGCAGGTGAATTTATTTTCTCAAACATCTCCCAGAGACGCGCGGTTTACAGCGCCGGGGCACGGGGAGATAATCGGTTCTGACCCCGAGATCGGACTATTTTTCCAAGTTGTTTAGAGACGATCATGATCACAACTGTCTGGCTGTTTGCTTCATTCACTCTGCAAAAATGAGGTGAGGGACAGGGGGGGGAGCAGAGGGCTAATAAAATGAGATGTGTGTGTGTTGTGTTGTAGACCCGCAGACCGCCCCCAGCGAGGTGGACGGGGTCAACCTGGAGGAGATTCGAGAATTTGCCAAAGCATTCAAGATCCGCCGGCTGTCCCTGGGCCTGACACAGACTCAGGTGGGCCAGGCGCTCAGTGCCGCCGAGGGGCCGGCGTACAGCCAGTCTGCCATCTGCAGGTAAGAGAAACTCTAACAAGAAGTGGTTCATTATATCACATCAGGATGTCCTAATTCTGTCAAATGAAAGCGGAGCAAGTGCTGCAGCCTCGCTGAGTTGTCTGGTGCTCATAACTGCCATCCATTTTTTATTCTCCTTTTTCTTTAACAGACATTATTAAGATATTAAAATACATAATTGACTATCACCACCCTGACAAACGAAGCCCTCATGTCTGTACTCACCCGTCTTCCTCTCCCGGCCCGCTCGCCCGCTGACATGACAGCCGCGCGTTACTTATGCAAAATACATACACAAGTATTACACGAAGCACTTAAAGCATTTAATAATTACTAAGGCTCGTTGCCGCTCTCTCCGCCTGAACATGAGAGAGCTTGACGCCGATGATCTGTTAATAAGATTGCCATGTTTTACTGCCGCCGCAAGGACAGTTTAGTCGTAAATGGCGCATTATATATTCATGAGACAATCAGACAATCAGTGTTTCATCCCTCCTGTTGTTCCGCCTCACTAACGTTTTATCACGAGGACACCGAGTGAGCGTCGTCGCCTTTTCAAGTCGGAGTAAGCGGGCTGCGTCGGGCCCAAATATTTCCTTCTTTTTTTTTTTTTCAAGACAAACAAAAAGACAAACAGATGACTCTTCAGAGTGAAAACAATTCAAAGTGTGTGATTAATTTAAAAAATGACAAATGAGACTTCTGCTCTAATTCAAAAATACATTTTGGCAGCTTTTCTTTGTCGAACTCCTCAGAGCTTAAACAAAGCTGTTTGCCTGTTTTGCCTCCGTTTCCAGTAAAATTCCCTCTCTCATTCCCGTATTAATTTTAATGTCCCTCCGCCATGCATGTGCTGATGACCTGTGCTGTTTATGCAACACGGCACTGCCACGCGCTTTTAAAAATTTCATCACATCAACATCAAACGGGGGATAAAATGTGAAACAGTACAGGAGGAGGGGGGGGGGGGTGTTCTTATGGGGCCCCGTCGACTCCGACTAATGTTCACCGTCTTAAAATCACACATGAAATATTAACAACCGGGAATAATTCAAATATTTATAACATACATTAAAAGCCATTAGCTTCAAAAATAAACACTTAGTGGGCTGTTCTTCATGCCGTTAAGACGATCTTTTTTTGTTTGCATGACATGGGACATGACACGGGGATGTTTTAAGTAGAGGAGGGTGAACTCCACATGCTTTAGTTTAGTTAACATCAACATAGACATGAAGTTTGAGGTGCAGCGGGACGTCACGCTCGCTCTGGGGGCTCCGGCTCTGAAGCCAGACGGAGAACAGACACTGACAGATGCTTCCATCTTGTCTCCTTTCATTGCTCACTTTGTTTCCCGGCAACTTTATTAGTTTATCCAAAGAAGAAGAAGAGCAGGCATCACGAGGGCATCATCAGACCAATGCTGTGCCCGTGTGTCCTCGTTGGGAGGCGGTGTAGCTGGATTTCAGAAGGAGGGGGAATTATGTGAAATTTAAAGTTAAAAATTTAAAAATTATCGCATATTTTATTTTTTATTTCATGATTTGGATGAACATCCGTCACAACTTATTTTATTTTTATTAGCACATTACTCACCATTTCCAAGTACTGTTGAAACTGCTTTAAATGCAAATATTCATATAAATCTGAAACCTTTTTATAGATCAACATGAACAGATTTTAACTCACAAAGATACTATGAATAAATATCCCATTCAAAAAGTAGGGTTAGGGTTATTTTTGGGGCCTTTTTGCCTTTAGTGGACCGGCCAGCTGAAGAGACACTGGAAACATTTTTTATGAGAGAGAAGGGGATGACATGCAGCAAAGGGCCGAGGTTGGATTCAAACTTTCAGCGGCTGCTTGGAGGACTACAGCCTCTGTACATAACCACTAGGCTAACAGCGCTCCCTTTAAATGAGTTCTTTGATGGATCTTTTACTGATTCATGATTACCTTCATTAAGTAAAAATGAGAAGTAAAAAAAGAGAAAATCTTCCTTTTAGAAACCCCTTTTTCTGTTTTTACAGAAACATTTAGTGTTTCATGGTTCTGTTTTTTTTTTCTCAACATGAACAGGCCTCACAGCAACACAGCAGGAGGCTGATACCGTTTTCTTAAGTTCATATCTATATCTATCTAACATCTAAATATGAACATTTAATCACAAAGTTGACATCAAAATTCAAAGCAACCAGGCGGTGATGACCCCAGTGGTTAGGTTGCACCCCATGTACAGAGGCTGTAGTCCTCCAAGTGGGCGGCCCAGCTTCAAGTCCGACCTGTGGCTATTTTCCTGTATGTCATTTTCCACTCTCTCTCTCTCTTCCCGATTTCTGACTCTATCCACTGTCCTATCTCTAAATAAAGGCATTAAAAGACCCAAAATAAACCCATATAAGACATGTGAAAAATGTAATAATGATAGAAATGTTCAGTTATCAAGGCACAACAGATCATTCGTCTCTCTCTAGAGAACATTTGAGGTCACTTCCAGTCCAGATTTCTCACTCAGCTCTGCCTGCATCATGACGGTGAACCCTGAGGGGAACTGTAACTCAGGCCTGAACGTACAGCATGTCTGAGCAGCCTCCTAAGGTACTTTTAAGACGAACCAGAGAGGCTGCAGGTGCATTCAGGGCCACTTCTCCCTCGCGCTGATGCACTAGTGGGGGGGAGTGCATGCCCCAGCTGAGCAGCTCTCAACTCATTTTAGTATCTGCGGTTCCTGTTGATCCATGAAATGTCCCGTCTCTGGTGACTCCTCATATTTACTAATGTATTCCCCGCAGTACCAAGCCCGTCCTCTTTCCACTGTTTAGTAGGAGGAGGGAGGGGGTTATAAATAATACCGCATGTCGACAAGGAGGAGAGCACCAGCGAGGTGTAGAAACAGAGGAAGTTCATTCGTGCATGGGCATCTCCGCTGCTCGCTGTTGTTGTCTGCTGCCGCTCACCCGGCCATTAAAAAACGTCTCGTGTGCTTTGTTTGTTCCACCGAGAGCAGAGCCTCCTCTCAGATCTGTGCCGTCTGTCCGTCAGAGCTGTCGGCTCACCACTTCTTCTACTAAAAGCATTCACACACACACGTCACTCTCGTTTGTCCCAGAAACACTTGAAGTCAGAGAACTTCCCTGCACTTTAACGTTGTACAGATTTAACCATGTACACGTTTAAATATCTCTTTATTTAGACTGTTCATTTTTGAGACAGATTTGTATATTCATTCTTAAATTTAAGGTTATCTTGTCAGCTTTTGTTTAATGGGATTTTATAAGGATAAGGCCTGTTTTAGACAATGACAGTGGGATGTGATGTCGCAGTTTTGCGTCCTTTGTGATATCTCATCCCTCCTTGAAACGCTGACGAGAATCTCTGACTAAATGCTAAATAATGAGACTGAGAGAAGAAGTCCTGCACAACAAGACAACTTAGTCACACAAACCACTTATAGTACACAAACGTTTCAAAGAAATTAACAAATATTCTGCACAGAATCAGCAGGAAATCCAAGAGGAACACAGAATAAGATGTTTAACTCTCATAACTCTCTACTTCTCCACCCTGTTTCCTGATTTGACCCTTTTGCTTTAGACCCCCAAAAAAATACATTGATAGGACGTCCTGAGATGTCCAGATGTCCAGAATTGAAACCGTCTTTTAACCTGTGTCGTCCTCACATCTGTCAAAAGGTGAAACAGACATTAAACAGATGATAAACCGCCTAAAAATGGACAAATCCAATCCAGCACGCATCACTCAGGAACATTTTTTTTTTGGGCCGATCGGGACCAACACTTGAAAGAACAGGAACAGTCAGGGTGGTGTCTCAGCTTGCTTTCTTTGTAAATAATCACTCAAAAGTCATCTTAACTTCACAAATGACAAAGAGTCTGATCCTCACTGTGTAGCAAATATCTTTACAAATATCCTCAGATATACTGCTCTCATTTTGACCAAATCCAAAATTTCCTTCATCTTCAACACATGACAAAAAAGTATCTGTTGGCTTTAAAAAAATCAGAGTCGTCTTGGTTCTTGCTGTGAGTTCAGATTCTTGACCTCTCAAAGCATCACAGGCGTGAGAGGAATTCTGTTACAGTAGAATATAAGATCTTCATCCTTATAAAATCCTCCACAGATCTGTTAATATCTCAGGCAGGAGCACCCGACAACCTGCAGTGTTTTTAGTGTCAGAGGAAGGCCCTCCGAGCTGCGGGCCCTTTCAGAATAAGAGTGTGTAAATGTATTCTTATTTAATATCAAATGAAGCGTTGTTAGGGGATGAAAGAAATTCTAAAAAATGTATTAAATGTACATTTGGATTAATCATTCAAGCTCTTCTTGTGAATAAATGATGGTGCCAGTTTTACCTGCATGCATTAGTGGATTAGGGGAAGTAATGGGATTTTTTTTTATAGCACTTCCTGTTTTGTTTTTCTGTTGTGAGATTTTTTTTTTGAAGAGCAGCATTTAAAAGTTTGAGTCAGGTGTTTGGTGTTTTTTGGTTCGAGTGAACCTGATACTAGCCGTTGGCGATATCTCCTTGCGCCACTATTGCCAAGTTGGGACAGAGACCCGCAGAATCCTCCAGAAAATTGACACACTACTGGCAGCGGTCGCCTCCAGCTGCTGCAGCTGAGGTGTTTCCTGACGCAGAGTACACAGGAGTTTGGCTTGGATGTGTACCTGGATGTTAGTCTCAGTCCCTGTGGCATTCTGGTCGAGGAGACTGAAAGGCAGGCAGCTTATCCCTTGTTCTGGCAGGGCGCCTAAGTAAGATTCTTTTTTCTCAATTCTCCCCAGACACACCATCCTGAGAAGCCACTTTTTCCTACCACAGGAAGCCCAAGAGAACACAATAGGTAGCAGTCTGACAGGAAAACTGAACCCTGGCCTTTTATATCCTGCCAGGTTTGAGAAGTTGGACATCACCCCTAAAAGCGCCCAGAAGATTAAGCCCGTTCTGGAGCGCTGGATGGCCGAGGCTGAGGCCCGCCACCGATCCGGCATGCAGAACCTGACTGAGTTTATCGGCAGCGAGCCTTCCAAAAAACGCAAGAGGCGGACCTCTTTCACCCCGCAGGCGCTCGAGATCCTCAACAGCCACTTTGAGAAGAACACGCACCCCTCCGGACAGGAAATGACGGAAATAGCAGAGAAACTGAACTACGACAGGGAGGTGGTGCGGGTCTGGTTCTGCAACAAGAGGCAAGCTTTGAAAAACACAATAAAGCGTTTGAAACAGCCCGACCTTGGCCCCGGTGCACCCATGGACCCTCTCACTGATTCTCTAGAGGAGCTCCCCAAATGAACGAGCTCCTCCTCCAAAACAACAACGACAACAACAACGACAACATCTAACATGGAGTGCAAAAAGTGGCAGCCATTAAAAAGAACAAAAGGTGGATGAACTCATCGTGACATGAGAACTGAAAAATGTTCCTGAGTCACCTGGATGGACAAACAAAAACTATGTGTTGTCAGTGTGATTACCACAGCTATGTAAATGACCTTGGCGAAACCAAAAACCAGAAAAAAGAGATTAATATGTGAGAATTATGTAAAAAAAATAAAAATAAACACGGTGTGCTGTTTCAAAGAGTTTTAGAGTCTGGCCGTACGGACCGGACTATCACCCAAATTTTGGTTCCCCCGAGGCGGGATTTAGTAAAGAGATCATACCAAATCGAAACACTATTTACCAAAGTCTGTTGCATCTGAGTACTAAGAATAATTTTGTAATGTAAATGTGCTCTAAATTTCTACATTTGTACTGGCAGATCTAAGCTATATGTGTGAGGTTGAGTAAACATTTTATCTTTGTCTCGCTTACTTTTCTCTCTTCATCGTTTGTATGTAAATATCTTTACAAAGAACAAAAAAAGAAAAAACGCTGTCTTCGAAAATTGAAATCACGCCGATGAAGTTCTCTTTTTCAACAAGAAAAAAAATGTAACCTTTGCTGTTAAACGATTGCATAATGATGATGATGATGTTTGATTTGTGTTTCATCTGCAGATATTTTCAGTCACAGTGTAACTTTGTACAACTTTTACAGGTATTTATTAATAATCTCATGAGGTTGTTTCAGACGACGTCGGACGGAGAGTAAATAAGGACTTGATCACATGATGATGATGATGATGATGAAGGGTTTCTGTCAAGTTGACTGCAGCTTTGTTCAGAGCTACTGTGTCATTCTGTTGCCAAAGCCTGATAGCCAAAGAACTCATCAATTTCAGCTCAAGGACTGGTGAAGATTTTACCTTTTGATTTTTTTCACTCCTTCCTTTTCTTACATGTTTCCCTCTGTGGGTCAACTTTAACAAACAAAACAGAAAAAAACATCATGTCAAACAGCTGCGACAGTGTCTGCTGTGATTTCCTGATCATTTACACACCGTGATGTAGAAACATGTGGTGGATGAATTTTCTTTAAGGTTAATATGTCCGTGCTTTCTTCAACTCCAACCACGTAAAGAATATGCCTCATACCAGGCATCCCGAACGAAACAATATAACTAGAGCTGTCAGATGATTAAATAGTTAATCATGATTAATCACATGTTTGAAATTCCATTATTTCACATCTAAAAATCCAAAATATTAGGCTTTTATTTTGAAATTTAGTACTGTCTTAAGCTGAGAGTACTTTACTTGCAGTTTGAACTCAACCCTGCTTTTATTTTGAAATTAATTAAGGACCTTCCTGTAGATGAAAGGTGAGGACATGACCATAAAGCAAAGAAACAGGAAGTGGTTAGGGATCACAAACTGAGGTCGAACAGCTCAAAGGAACTGTAACAAAGGTCAATGTGTGATGTCATAGGTCAATGTGTGATATCATCAGGTGGATATTACTTTGGAAGTAGCATTCCCTCAGTGCCCCGTCTGCACCCACCCCCTCCCCTCTGTGCTCCCTCAAGAGCCACGCCCCTCACACCTCATCTCAGGGGTACGAGAACGAGCAGGGAGACAGGGAGGCATGTGATTGGTTCATCAGATTGGTACCTCATGGCAGACATTGGTTGAAATTTTTAAAGACTTACAAACTGCTACAGATGACGGATTTTCTTCGTTCCTTTTTCAGAGCACAAGAGTTATTCATTTCTGTCAGGACCTAAAGATGATTTCAACCAAAATTTTAAAAAGTGGATCTGGAGGAAATGACCAAACCTGCCTTTAAGGGACAAAATATGTGATTAATCATGATTTAAAGAAAATGACTGCATCAATTTCAGACCTTCATTATTTGTGACTAACTAATTAACACTGACAGCCCTAATTATAACCAGAATACATCATAATTATCACGATAATTGATGTAAACATGTGGTTAAAGCGCGTTTGTTACCGCTGACCAGACCACTCTTTGAACTGTTTTATAGCTCAGAAAAAGTTCCTTCACAGATAAAATGTTATTTCTTTATATTCTGCACTCCACTCTGCTTATTGAACGTTTACAGATTTTAAAATCAAACATTCAAATTCAAATTACTTTTTCTCTTAAGAATTGATCACTTCTGCAGTAAAAGGGGTTAAAAAGGTTTATTTCAACAGATTCCCCTTTGATATGTTTTGTGTTTATTGTATATGTGGGATGAAGTTAGTTTCAGTCTTCTTACATGTCTATGGATCGTGTCTCCCTCACTGTGTATTGAACTGTTTTGCTTTTATTATTTTTTACGTCGTATTACTTTGTGATATTTATGTCGATAATTTCATCCTGGAACCTCCCCGACGGTCTGTCACTACAGATATTTGCCTCTCGTATAAAAACCCTCACAGGAAAAGAATGAAAAAAAAAAAGAAAATAGAAAAAAGAGGTGAATGTTGAGAATAAGTGTCACATGTCAGAACGAGTGAACTTAATTTGAAGTGAGGTGAAATTTGATGCAATTTATTCAGAATCATGTGTCTGCTCGATATCTGTCCTTCCATGTCACTTTGGTTATCTCTGTCTTTCAGCCCCCCCCGTGCACTGCTGTGTTCTTCTTCACTGTCTATAAAACACACACACACACACACACACACACACACACACACACACACACACACACACACACTCAGTACATGTAAGAAAACACATGAAGAAGCTTTACATCTTTGCCTTTATGAAAAAGGAAAACAGGAATTTGCAGAAAATCTATAGACTTGTTTCACTTTGGCGCACAGACTTTTGATTTAAACTGTTATTTAGGTTTCTTTGTGTGTTTTTGTTTAGCTTCAAATACGTAATCCAAGCAAATCTTTGGCCAAGAACCACCATGTCTGCATCCACTCAACACATGTGAGAAAAAACAGCGGGCGGCTCCTGCAGGTACGCTACAGATCTGTCCATGAGGCTTAACGATAAAGCTGTAACCAAAACCAAAACAAAAGAAGACACAGACAGGAGTCGATGCCTTCGCTCAACTTCTCAATGCTGGACCAAAGCTCTATAGTTATGCACATTGTACAGAGAAATAGATTCATGATGTTGACAATCTTTCAAATCTGAGATAATGAAGAAAAAAAAAAAGTCGAAATGTACAGAAGTTCATCCAAGGTTTACCTCAGTACTGTTCTGGTGAGAATCATACAGACGCCATACAAGCAGCAGACGCTTCCTCCGCACTGTGTATTCATGTTCACCTTCAGCGGGGAGGGAGAGGCTTGTTTCATTTATTATCCTGTGACACATGATTGTTTTATTTAACGTGTGATGTGTGCTTTTTATTCCTGAGCCAGGCGACTCCCCGGTCATCTGCGTACACTTAATTACCGTTGTTTAATTTCTCATTCATGGTGACGTCCGCCTCGGTTCTCCACAGACCTTTAGACCCACATAGAGGGGAAAAAGAAGATTACAGTCATGTTGCTCTTAAAAAAAAACAATTAGGATGATTTATTTTATCACCCTTTTACATGATTTTGTGAAATGTTATTTACACAAACAAACCGGTTTGACATTTTGTTTATAGTTGAAGAACTCAGAAACCAAAGCTGAAGCGCCCACAGAGGTTGGTTTTCATTTCTTTTTTTTATAGACTGAAAACTGTACTTAAATCTTTAGAGCAATATCTGTTCGGTCAGTTAAGCAGCACTTTGTGTATTTCCAAAATTTAAAAAAAGCTTCAAGTAGGCTATGTCACATTGATTTGTACCATAATTAGTAATAAACAATTGTTTGACATGAACTGTGTGTCCTGTTTTCAATGGAGTGATGCATTCTTATAAATCGAAAGCTAACAAAGTAAAAATGTTCCGTAGGAGCTATGAGACAAAATATAAATCATATAAATCGTCAGAGAGACAATTCAAACTCTGATTGCATTTTTCATTGAACACAACTAAACGAGGAAGAAGATTCATTAAGCCTTGATGTAGAAAAACTTTGCTAAAATACCCTGCAGTTCATCAAGTGTCCACTAGAGGCTGGCTGCAGAAGAACAGGAGGTCACATACACACCCATTCAAACAGCAACAGCACTGTGTAAACATTTCAATGTTATTAGATTACTTTATTTGATGTGTGATAATCTATTTTTGACAACCTCAGAGCAGAGCCTCCAGTCCCTCCCGAGATCTCAGGCGTTCCTCCTACAGGGGCCCAGACCCCAGGTTGGGAACCAATGGCTAAATCCATATATAACCATTGGAACTAAAATGTCCTTAAAATGGTTCAAATGGACAACATGAAGTGGAATATGATTTATAATTTATAAGACAGATTTTGTTCAGATTTTGTGTTTCATTTCTAGAGTGTGGTATTGGCCTGAGTAACACGGGTACTCACCGCTCGCCGTGGAGTTCAAAGGTTTCAATAACATAGAAATATTCTAAAACATGGCTGACCTCTCTTTTCATCTGAACACATAAACACGGTTATTGAAAATGTCAAATAGAAACTAACACGCTCTCTGTGAGGTCATGGTCGAGTGCACCTTAAAGCAAGCTGCACACACCTTCATGTTTATGCTGCGGTGTTAGTACTCGACATTCAGCACGTTGTTGTTGGTGGGGGGGAGGGAGGGTGGGGGGTGGGGGGGTCAATGAATGGATGTTTAATGAGAGGGGGGTGGCTGCTTTACAGAAAGAGCCTTACATACAATATTTAGCTATTTATTTAGATTTCCTTGGGGGTCAGTGGAGAAGAATACATGTCAGGTTTGCTTCTCATCAAAGCTTCATGTTTTTGCCTCGCCAAATAACAACAAGACAAGTGTAAAGAAGAAGAAGAAATATATAAATAAACGGGGGAGAAAGCCTTTTGAAAACTAAACTCAAAAGTTTGATACAGCTTCCCTGTCCGCGATGCCTTTGAAACCCAGGCAGGCTGCTGAAAAGAAAGTAGTAAATAAATAAATAATAATAATAAAAAGCACAGACAACATAAATTATTAACATTAGACTGAAAGATGATGTTCAAGATGCTTTTTCGTCTTCCTTTCAGCCCCCCTCCCCCCTCTCCCCCCCTCCTCCTTCATTTCAAAACCCTGGATGTATTTTTGAGTGGTGATGGCTGAGGTGTACGCGGCGGCGGCTCAGGCGAGCTATTTGATGTTCTTTTGTGTTTTCGATCCGCGCCATTTCTTCATTGTCTTCCCCATTAACAATGTAATTGTGCAGATGCAGCGCCTGACCCATATCTGTTTTCTCTAACTGTTTGTGTATTCTGCCGCTGATAAAAGTTTACTTTCTCCCCTCGCTCTGAAGCGACGCAGGCTTTTCTGAATGAAGAGTAACAGCGGCACGGCTCAAAGGAGTCCTGAAGCAGAATTACAGAGTAAATGTCAGAGGCTTTGAGAGTTGTTATCAGTCACTGTTGGACGTCAGTGTGTCAACGCACAAAAGTTTGGGTGCTGTTTGTGGAAAAAGTTGTATTGTATCCGAAAATTTAACGAGTTACACGTAAGGAAGATTTTGACGCGAGAAAGTAATGAGCAGCTCTTTAAAGCTCCCGCTTCTGAAGATTGTTCACACGTGATCATTCTTTCAGAGAGTCATTAAGTCAGTCTGTTAAACTGAAATATCCTCTAAGGGTTTGATTTCTCTGTGTCATGATTTGTTCTTGTCAGGTTTTGTACTTTATTTATTTAAGTGTTTAGAGTTCATTTCCTGTTTTATTTTTCTTTATTTCCCTAGTTTAGCCTTTAGTGTTTCCTGTTTTATTGTGGTAGTTATGTCCCCAGTGTTTCCTGTCTTCTCTTACGTCCTCCCTTTGATCGCCCTGATTGTCTTCACCTGTGTCGTTAGTCTCACCTGTGTCTCATCACCTCAGTGTCTTCTTGTCATCAGTTCATACATCTTCCTCAAACGTCTGTGCTGCTCCCTCGTTGCTTTTTCCTGTAGACGTGTACATACAGTTCAAGAGACTTCAAGTTCTGTTTTAATGTTTATAATAAAACACTTTCATTAATGATTTTGAATGCAGTTGTAGTGAAGTCAGTTTTAAAATGCCATACTGGTGACAGATGGTGTAGCGCTATTTCATGCAGTGTTTAAAGTTAAAAATCAAAAAGTAAACATAACAAAGATGGAAGTTGTCCCACAGATAAATTACTTAACTGGAA